ACTCGCCCTGGGACCCAGCACAAAAGCAACAGTATGAAAAGGTCTGGACCATAGGTGAAGGAGATTTATTTACTAATCTTAAAGCATCTGCTGGAGGGGCAGAAATCTGTTGGGACTCTTCCTGGAGACAGAAGCTGGCAGGTGCCATTTTTGTGCTCTCTCTCCACCTTGTTAGTCCCACTGTACATGCCCCATCCTCATGCCACTTCTGCAGCCCTGCCAAAGCCAGTTGGCACATGCAGCCCATACAGTGTATGCCTCTTGAGCACCTGGCTCTGGTGTCCAGGGCGGATTGTGTTTTGGGACCCCCATGGGTCTGAAACAATCAGAGAGACTATTCTTGGCAGGCTACCACACTCCAGTTACTGCACAGACAGCTGCTGTGATGCACCCCCAGTCTTCCTGTGAAAAAGCCCTATTTACCTGTCTTGAAGCTTCAGCCTGATGGACAGGCTTCCAGTTTTCCATACGTCTAGAGGCTATGAAAGGTCTAGGGGATATCACCTTTGTGCTCTCCCTTGACCTCACTACAGCTCACTGGTACCTCCCAGAAATGAAATCAAACACTCACCTGGAGCCCCGATTTTTGCAACTTCACTAATGGGACACCTGTAGATCACCTGGTGCAGAGGCCAGCAAGGTTTACAACTGCATTTTCACAGTACTGTGTATACTTGCATACCTTAAAAGCTGCTGCCTAGTTTCTAATCAGCCTGAAATTAAGGGCTAACTGAGATCCCACCCTCTCCCACCCTCTGGAACACTCACAAGTCTTCAACAACTGGGAATTACCAAGAATAAATCAGGGTGCTACGACAATCACAATGGTTCAAAATATAACCAAGAGCTAGGGCAAGGTTAAACAAGAAGGTTAATCTCCTTCACAAGGCCACTACTTCAAGACTGGGAAAGACAGCTGTTTTGCCTAATACATAGAAACACACAGAGAGTCAAGCAAAATGAGGAGAGAAAGGAATTTATTCCAAACAAAAGGAAAAGATAAAACCACAGGTTAAAAAAAAAAAAACTTAATGAAATGGAGATAAGTAATTTAGCTGAAACAGAGTTCAAAATGTTAGTCATAAAGATGTTCACTGAACTGGGGAGAAGACTAGATGAACACAGAGAGAACTTAAACAGAGATAGAAAATATAAGTAAGTACTAAATAAAAGTCACAAAGATGAAATATACAATAACTGAACTGAAAATTACACTAGAGGGGTTCAATAGCAGACTACAAGAAGCAGAGGAAGAATCAGTGATCTGGAATAGAGGTCACTGGAACTCATTCAAATAGAGCAGCAAAAAGAAAAAAAAATTCAAAAAGTGGAGATAGCTTAAGGGACCTATGAGACAACATCAAGCAGAATGACATTTGCATTATATGGGTCCAGAGGGAGAAGAGAGAGAAATAGGCAGATGACTTATTTAAGGGAATAATGGCTGAAAACTTCCCTAATCTGGAAAAGGAAACAGACATCCAGATTCAGGAAGCCCAGAGAGTTCCAAACAAAATGAACCCAAATAGACCCACACCGAGACACATTACATTTAAAATGTCAAAAGCTGAAGCTAAATCATAAAGGTAGCAAGAGAAAAACCTGTTACAAACAAGGGAACCCCCATAATACTATCAGATTTTTTTGGCAGAAACTTTGAAGGCCAGCACTTTCAAAGTGCTGAAAGGAAAAAACTTCCAACCAGGAATAATCTACTCAGCAAGGTTATTATCTAGAACTGAAGGAGAGATAAAGAGCTTTCCAGACAAACAAAAGCTAAAGGAGTTCATCACCACTAACCCAGACCTGCAATAAATGTTAAAGGGACTTCTTTAAGCTAAAAAGAAAGGGCGCTAATTAGCAACAAGAAAACATATGAAAGTAAAAATCTCACTGGTAAAGGTAAATATATAGTAAAGGTAGTGGATTGATCACTTACAAAGCTATTATGAAGTTTAAAAAATAAAAGTAATAAAAATAATAATTTAGTTAAATGATACATGAAATTTAAAAAATGTAAAATGTGAAATCAAAAACATAAAATGTGAAGGGGAGTTCAAAATGTAGGGTTCTAGAATGCATTCAAACTTAACTATCAGTTTTAAATAGATGATTTTATATATACACTTACATATATATTTATGTGTCTGTGTATATATATATAAGCTGTTACATGTGAGCCACATGGTAACCACAAAGCAAAAGCCTATAGTAGATACACAAAAGATAGTGATAAAGGAATCTAAGCATAACCCTATAGAATGTCATCAAACCAAAAGGGAAGAATGCAAGAGAAGAAGAAAGAAACATAGAGGAACTACAAAACAGCCAGAAAACAATTATCAAAATGGCAATAAGTACATAGTTATCACTACTTACTATAAATGTAAATGGACTAAATTCTCCAAACAAAACACATAGAATGGCTGAACAGGTAAACACCAAGACCCATATATATGCTGCCCACCACAGACTCATTTCAGATGTAAGGACACACACAAACTGAAAGTGAAAGGATGGAAAAAAATGTGTCATGCAAATAGAAACCAAAACAGAGCTTGGGTAGATATACTTATATCAGATAAAACAGACTTTAAAACAAAGACTAATAAAAGGCAAAGATGAGCATTACATAATGATAAAGTCATCTCCAGCAAGAAGATATAACATTTGTAAATATTTACACACCCAACATAAGAGCACCTAAATATATAAAATAAATATTAACAGACCTAAAAGGAGAAATTGACAGCAATACAATAATGGTAGGGTACTTATAACACTTATAACAATGGAAAATTATCCAGACAGAAAATCAACATGGAAACATCAGCCTTAAACCACACTTTAAACAAGATGGGCTTAATACATACATATTGAACATTCCATCCAAAGGCAGCAGAATACACGTTCTTCTCAAGTGGACGTGTAACATCATCCAAGATAGATCATATGTTAGGCTACAAAGTAGTCTCAATAAATATAAGAAGATCAAAATCATGTCAAGTATCTTTTCTGACTACAATGGTATGAAACTAGAAATCATTTACAAGAAGAAAACTGGAAAAACACAAATACGTGGAGACAAACAACATGCCACTGAACAACCAATGGGTCAAAGAAGAAATCAAAGGAGAAATTTTAAAAAATACCTTGAGACAAATGAAAATGGAAATACAACATACCAAAATCTGTGGAATGCAGCAAAAGCAGCTCAAAAAGGGAAGTTTATAGTGATAGAGGCCTACCTCAAGAAACAAGAGAAACCTCAAATAAACAACCTAACGATAAAGCTAAAGTAACTAGGAAAAGAAGAATAAATGAAGCCCAAAGTTACCAGAAGGAAGGAAACAATAAAAGTCAGAATAAAAATTAATGAAATAGAGACTGAAAAGATCAATGAAACCAAGAGCTGGTTCTTTGAAAAGATAAACAAAATTGACAAGTCTTTAGCTATACTCACTATGAAAAAAAGAGAGAGGGCTCAAATACATAAAATCAGAAATGAAAGCGATAAAATTACAACTAATACCAAAGAAATACAAAGGATCGTAAGACACTACTATGAACCATTATATGCCAACAAATTGGACAACCTAGAAGAAATGTTTAAATTCCTAGAAACATGCAGTCTTCCAAGACTGAATAATGAAGAAAGAGAAAATTATGAATAAACATAATTACTAGTAAGGAGATTAAAAACTCTCAACAAACAAAATCCAGGGTCAGACAGCTTCACTGGTGAATTCTACCAAACACCCAAATGTTTAATACCTATATTTCTCAAACTCTTCCTGTGGAGGAGGGAACACTTCCAAACTAATTTTACAAGGTCAGCATTACCCTGATACCAAAACCAAACAAGGACACCACAAAAAAAGGAAATTACAGGCCAATGTACCTGATGAACATAGAAACAAAAATCCTCAACAAAATATTAGCAAACTGAATTCAACAATACATTAAAAAGATCATCTACACTATTCAAAGTGACATTTATTCCATGGCTGCAAGGACGATTCAACCTCCACAAATCAATCAACATGATGTACCACACAAACAAAATGAAGGATAAAAATCACACGATCATCTCAATAGATGCAGAAAAGGCTTTTGACAAAATTCAACATCCACGTATGATAAAAACTCTCAACAAAATGAGTATAGAAGAAACCTCAACATAATAAAAGGCCATATATGACAAGCCCACAACTAGCATCATACTCAACAGTGTAAAGCCGAATGCTTTTCCCTTTAGTTCAGGAACAAGACAAGAAGGCCCATTCTCACCACTTTTGTTCAACATGTGTAAATCTTGAGGACCGTATGCCAAGTGAAATAAGCCAGTAACAGAAAGATAAATACTGCATGATTCCGTGTACAGGAGCTATCTAAAATATTCAAATTCATAGAACCAAAGGCCGGTTGCCAGGGCTTGAGGGGATGGGGACACAGGGAATTACTAACTAATGGGCATAAAGCTTCAGCCAAGCAAGATGAGTCAGCTCTAGAGATCTGCTATACAGTGTTCTCTGTATAGGCAACAACGATACATATATTGTACACTTAAAAATTTAAGCCGGCAGATCTCATGTTAAATCTTCTTTCCACAATAATTTTTTAAAGTGCCTCCATTGCAGGAAAGAGCTACTGCTGGCCATCACATAAATTTTGCGGGGTTTTTTCCACTTTCCTTATTTACATCCTCAAGGAAGAAATAGCATTAGCAATCTTGAAATAATTACCATAGTAATTCACCTAAAGCAGGACTGCTGTAATTTAATTTTCAGAATGAAATTACAGCATATCCAAAGGAAACGATTCAGACTTCCTTTCACATTTCAAATTTAGCAAATTCAAATCTTTCTGTCAAACAGGAAATTCCCAGTGCCCAGCAATCAACACAGAAACAAACACACAAACATGCACATAGGCATAAGCCCAGTGGTTGGAACTTTCCTATTTTACTGATGAAATTTGTTAAAATCCATCATTCTTACCTTCCCAAAACTCCCTTTACCAATGGCCCGTAGGATCTGAAAATGGTCAAAGTTGACTGTAAAAGAAAAAAGAGAAAAACAGGAATAAGTCAGATTTGGCAAACCTTGTTTTGGTTCTTAAATGTCCTTACCTGCACACCTACCCATTTATTTCAAATGGCTCCTGGTTTACTGCATCATGTTTGTCATGGCAGCACTCCACCACTGAATGGATACTTCTTGGCATATTCCATTTCCCCTCCCAGCACATATATTTGGCAGTTAACACCTCACCATATACTTAGACACCCACAACCATATACACCTATATGGTATATAGGAGGAGAGACATCTTTTGGGCCAGAGGGAAGGCAGGACAGAGAAAAACTTGGATACTTGGATTATCAAATTCTTGTACCTGCTAATCCCTTTGCCAGGATGACCCTTCCCTACTCCTAGCTCCTGTCTTGTCCATCAAGCACTCTTACCTTACATACTCAGACATCAGCTCACCTGCCTCAGTAGCCAAGGAGTTAATCCTACCTCCATTATGGAACCTCTGGACCCCCAAGTTTCATGGCCACATCATGGTCCTTCCCTGCTTGGGTGTCTGTCTAACCACTGATATCACGAGCCAAGAGGATGAAGATGATGATCCCACACCTTCCTCCTGGTATTGCCCTGTCTCATGCCTCCCTTTCATCACGTTTCTTGATGGGGCTCCCCATTCCTGCTATCTCTACTGCCTTGTTCCAGTATGGCTTATACCCCATCCCCATACCACAACAGGCCAACAACGTATGGCAATGCCACTCGAGCCAATGGACAACTTTCTGTGCCCCTTCTACTTGGCCACTCTCTCAAAACACCTGCATAGCTTCAATGGAAGCGCACCCTCTTGATTTTCCATTTCATGCATCAGCCCTTTTGCACATGCATCTTTGTCCTCCTGGCCATTAATTACTGGATTCCATCAAGACTCCATCCTACAACCTTCCTCTCCTCACTGGCTCCAAAGGCTTCAGTCACCACCTAATGGCCAATGACTTTCCAGGCTGTGCGTACCGATTGATCCTACCACACAGAAACTCCTGGAGGCTTTGGAGCCACCTTGAACTCAATGGGTCCAAAATGGAACTTAGGAGAGGGTGTGGAGAAAAGGGAATTCTCCTCCACCATTGATGGGAATGTAAATTGATGCAGCCACTATGGAGAACAGTATGGAGATTCCCTAAAAGACTAAAAATAGAACTACCATATGATCCACCAATCCCACTCCTGGGCATATATCCAGAAAACATGAAAACTCTAATTCAAAAAGACACATGCACCCCAATGTTCATAGCAGCACTATTCACAATAGCCAAGACATGGAAGCAACCTAACTGTCCATCGACAGATGAATGGATAAAGGAGAAGTGTTACATATACACAATGGCATACTACTCAGCCATAAAAAAGAATGCAATAATGCCATTTGCAGCAACGCGGATAAACCTAGAGATTATCATACTAAGTGAAGTAAGTCAGGCAAAGTCAACTATCATATATCACTTATATGTGGAATCTAACAACATGATACAAATGAACTTATTTACAAAACAAAAACAGACTCAGAGACATAGAAAAGAAACTTACGGTTACGAAAGGGGAAAGGGGAATGAGGGAAGGATAAATTAGGAGTTTCGGATTAACAGATACACACTACTATATATAAAACAGATAATCAACAAGGACCTACTGTATAGCACAGGGAACTCTACTCAATATCCTGTAATAACCTATACTGGAAAAGAACATATATATATGTATATATATATATACATACATACATAGGTATATATACACACATATATATATAGGCTGGTGGTTGCCAAGGGGGAGGTGGGGGGGAGAGGGACGGTTTGGGAGTTTGGGGTGAGCAGATGCAAACTAGTATATATAGGATGGATAAACAAGGTCCTACTGTAGAGCACAGGGAATTATATTCAATATCCTGTGATAAACCATAATGGAAAAGAATATGAAAAATTAAATATATATATATATAACCGAATATACACTGAATCACTTTGCTGTACACCTGAAACTAACACAACATTGTAGATCAACCGTACATCAATTAAAAAATAAAATAAAAGAAACACAGCCTAGGATGAGCGGTTCAACATTCATTCGACCTCACAAGCTCAAAGCCTGGAACTCATTGTGGACTCCTCTCTCTCCCAACCCCACATCTAATCCTTCACTAGGTTAGGTCCATTTCACCTGTTCACTGTCTCTCCCATCCATCCACCCTGTGGCCACCCTCTGGTCTAACCCACATCGTCTCTCGCGTGGACAACCACAGTGGTCTTCCAACCACCTCTCTCAGGAGGGGGGTCTTCTTGCTCGTCCTCTGCTTACACCCCTCCAATGGCCCTTCCATTGCTTTCAGGGAAAAGAGGAAGTTCCTCCCCATGGCCATGAGGCTTCACAATTGGGCCCCTGCTACTTCTCCTGTTTCACCTCCTACCATGCTCCAGACACCCACTGAGCTTCAGACTTGCAAGCTTTCTTTCTGTGCTTTGAGCAGCCATTCCCCACACCTTTAATGCTCTTTTCTTGGTCCCACACTTGTTAACTCTGCTTCCCCTTCATTCTTCTGCAGGCAGAGAAGGCTGCTCTGACCCTTCAGCCTAAGTCTGCTCCCCCTATTATATATTCTCACAGCACCCTGGGACTTTGCTCCAAAAGACATTATTCTGTGTTATTTTACATGTATTTGATTAAGATCATTGATCCTCCACTAGACTCTAAGCTCCCTGAGGTCAAAGGCCATGTTTGTTTTTCTACTGTATCCCTACAGCTAGTACGGCGTTGGTGCACAGTCGTATTTGACAAATATTCATCAGCTAAAGGAATGACTGAAAGCAGATTCCCATATTCAAGGTGCCAGACACACTTCGTGGTACATAATGGGTGTTCGGTAAATATTTCTGAATTAGATTGAATTACGGCCAGTTACAAAAGATGAAGTGAACTGATTCGTTTACTACATTATGGGGGCAAGGATAGGGGGAGGTGAATGAATACAATTAGTTCCTTGTGCATTCAACTCACCACCATGGAGGATAATTATGTTGAACTGTGTCCCTGCCAAACCAACGTCAGAATCCAGTGTGCCATCTAACACCTAACGTGCTTAGAATAGAGAGACAGGGTTAACGGTTAACTTAGCAAAACCTTGACCTAGATTGGTTTCCTTTGCACATAACTTGCCAGGAAAAGAAACTGGGAAGAGAGAAAGCAGTGGGCTGGGACTGCACTTGTGATGTGACCAGCAATGAGCTAGGAAATGCACATATCCTATCCCAAGCCCCCAGGGTCCCGGGAGGCAGGCACCACTGTTGGCATTTGACACCTGCCCTCCCCACCAATTAGCAAGAAACATCCCCACTTCCCTGAAGGCTCCATGCTCCCCATGCTGTTATTTCACCTGCTTGGAAAGTCATTCCTCCGACACCCTTCATTTCAGGGAAAACTCCTACCTGCCCTTTGACACACGGCTCACATGTTCTTTTCACTCATGAAGCTTTCCCCCACTTCCAACAAATCACTTTCTCCTTAGTGCAATAGCAGGACCTTCTGCAGACATCGGTCCAGGGATCAGGAGACCCCAGCCTGGAGTCAAACTGCTTAGGTCCATAACTCAGCTCTGCCACAGTAACGTTGGATGAGTCACTGAGCCTCTATGTGTGTCACGTACCCCGTCTGTAAAATGGGAGCAACGGTGCCTACCTTCCAGAAGAGCATAGAATGGTGCCTGGCACACAACACATTTTCAAAAAGCATTAGCTATTTGTGTTGGGGATGGGGAGCCATCCTCCTCCTTCTCTGGGTTCTAGGAGGGATATTTCAGTGAACATCTGTGGCCTCTTGCCCCATCAAAGGTGGTGTGAGTTGTCCAAGTGGTGAGCTGGAAAAGGAACTGCACTGGTGTATTTCTGCTTGTCCTGCTCTCTCTCCGGAATCTGTCTGTCTTCAGGAAGCAAGCTTTTCCTCTGCTCCCTCTTGCCAGAAGCTTTTCAGGGCCAGGCACTGTGTGGAGAGGTCTACGGGGTCCAGAGTCGTTACTGAACAGGTGGGTGAGCCTGGCTAATTCTGGGCTTCAGAATCACGGGGCCCATTGCTGCTGCCCTCCTGGGTCCCACTCCTCAACCCCACCTAGATCCCTTCTAGGGGTAAGGCTTGGTTCTCCACTGGCCTCCTCTTTTGCCTTGTCTCATAACTGGAAGGGGTTTTAATTAATGAGCAGCTTGGCAAATGCCTAAAGCTACTACTGTTTTAATAATTAGCATTATAATATTGTAAATAATCTCACTCTTCCACATCCTCTACAGAAATGTGTGTTCATGGGGGTGGGTGTCTAACGCAACGTACGAGGCAAATAGGTACTTATTTAACGTTTATTTGCTTACTGGACTAGATTGGATTTAAGTGACTGAGTGTATGGCCTGGGTTTTTCATTTATTTCGCATTCCCCTGACCTGGTGTACTGAGATTTACATAATAGCGCCTCCATGAATACACTGTGAATAAGGGAAGGGTTTACACTTGATTGATAAGCAGATTGAAATGACTTCAGTTAATGAGAGTCCCAGGCCAAAGATGGCTCCTAGAAATCACACTGTCACCTAGGGCTGGTGGCCCAGAGCAAGAGGAGTTGGCTGGGGGGTGTAGGAGGGGTGATTAGTGGGTTTCTTAGGGTGACCATCGGGTCATGGTTTGCCCGGGACCTTCCTGGTCTTAGCATTAAAGGTCCTGCAACCCTGGAACCCCATAGTCCTGGGAAAACTGGGACAACTGGTCACCTGTAGGTTTCTAGACCACCTGAAGTCACAAGCGCTGACAGAGCTGGCCGGGGGACAGGAAGGTGAATTCTTGAAAAGCAGTGTTTGTTCAGACCACCAGACACTAGGGTTGCCAAGGGTGACACTGTGATAAGTACACTGTTAAAGTAGAAACAGGCAGCACACTGCCAGCCAGAAGCAAAGCCAAGGGGGTGCCAGTGACCTCACCCAAAGGCTCCACAACA